ATACGTCTTTCAACCCATCACTTAAAAGAATACTCATACAAAGATGTTTCCTTTGATTCTGTAACGGACTATGTTTTCACATGTAAACAGAGAGGTAGCATGAGTGGACAGTGAGTGTGTTCACCAGGTTTTTCCACGGGGAGAGACAATCAATGTGGATTGTATTTTTGAGAACAAATGTGAACTCCACGTTTTTGGAGAGTAAAATTATGTTTTTGTCAGAGCGGTTGTTTTGCACGCTTTGCTGGTAATAAAGTATGAGTTGACTGAGATAGTAGAGAGCTGAGCGCAGAGCAGTAGAGTCAGTCAGTAGCGTGAGAGCTGTGAGATTAGACAGTTGAGCTGAGTTATAGTAGTCTGAGGACGTGTCTTTCTTAATGATGGAATACTATAGATATATATGTGAAATTACATTCATGCAAGGATTATTTATTAATATTATCAATATAAAGTGTGTTCAATAAAGTACTGTGAGTTTTAACTAGAATTGAGCATTCTTCTTTACGTGCCTGAATAATAAGTGAAAGAATGAAGAAGACTGAGTCGGCATCCTGAAGCGTTAATATAAGTAACCATACTACTGACATAACCCACAGCATAAGAAATAACATCCCACGCCATGTCAGAGTAGAAGTGTGTTACAAATGGTGTCAGAAGCGGTGTAACGACGATGCGTTACAAATATTGTCAGAAGTGTCAGAACAACGATGTATTACAGAACATTGAGTAACAATGATATATTTTAACATTCGAATCGAACGTCATTACGCCCGAGTATTTGTCAAGTCTGAGAAGAGTCCACGACACACAGAGCAAGCTGACAACGATTGAATTTAGGTCAGTCACGGGAGTCAAAAGTTCAGAGTGCAAACAGCTAACTGGTACACTGTTTCAATTATATAACAGTGGAGTGAATATTCTCGTGGAAGAAACAGCAAGAAATCTATTTTACAGTTATTAGTCAACGAAAGAGATGATCCACACAAAACCAAAAGAAGTCTGATGTCATTACAGATGAGATGTTTTATCAAGACAGCGGAAGTAAGATTTCCCCAGCATAATCTTTACTTATACAAGCCGCACATAGCCTAGTGCGCAATGCAAGTCAAGTAATTCTTCAAGTAATTCTTCAATTACTCACAAGTGCAACAGAACCGGAGAGAAATTAGACAATTTTCAATTATTGGATTATCACAATTACACTATTACGCAAGGTACTTACATTGGAGTATTGCAGCAATTTGTGGTGTAACTTTTCTCATTGGATTATTTTACCCAAGTACACTACCACATAGGATTATCTACTACCTAGAAGGAGCATCTACTACATAGGATTATCGATTACACAGAAATCATAGCGTCACAGAGGAGCAGAGGTGACCAACTACGGATTTCTTTTAAACACTTGGTATTTATGTATTTATGTGTTATATATTATATATAATTTAAGACTTTAAAAATCTACTTATATCATACTTAATTAGATTAAGTAAATTTTTTACTTTTTCTGTATAATATAAGTTTAATTTTAGAGTATACTGTAGGGACATCCACGGTGTTATCTTTCCTAGGGAAGTTTTTTTATTAAAACGGTAAAGGTTTCTTCTGGCCCTATTTATAACACTGTAGGATAATTCTGTGTTAGCTGTGAAGTCTAGTTTGTACATTGTCATAACTGTTGTTTTTTAGTAGATCGTGTCATATTTGTGCTATTTGTCTTGTCATTGTTATACATATTGTCAACCTACTGTCATATTTTCTACTATCTTGTGGTCCATAAACTACACAGTACTTTTGTATTTGTTGTCTCATTTGTATACATGTAAACGTCTACATATCTGTATTTATGTTGTGAAGTAGACAATTTAATTACTTTAAATTTTTCTTACACTTATTTATAACTTATAATTCATGTTTCAACTTGCATTTGTGTATACATTCATTAACATGTAGATATATGAAAGATCGTAAACTATTTTAATTGATAACCAAAGAATAAGGAGATAACTGATATACTGATACATAACAATATAATTGTAGTTACTCACATTACACATAAAAAATGGCAGAGTACTTGGAATTATTAGAAGTAGGTGAGAAACTTGGCTTGAAGCAAGAGAAATTAACTGACTTCGTAACTCGAGAAATGGACAAAATACGAGACAGACAGAAAGAAGACAAAGACCGACAAGACAAAGACAAAGACCGACAAGACAAAGACAAAGACCGAGAAGCTAGAATGTTAGAAAGAAGACAAAGACCGACAAGACAAAGACAAAGACCGACAAGACAAAGACAAAGACCGAGAAGCTAGAATGTTAGAGAGAAACGATCTTAAACAAATAGAAGAAATGAAATTAAAAGGACAAAAAGAGATAGATGAACTAAATTTAAAAGGACAAAAGGAAATAGAGGAACTTAAATTAAGAGAGGAAGAAATAAAACTAGAAAGAGCTAGAATAGAATCAGGACAGCATACACCATCAACAAGCAATAGGGAAACCAACAGTGCATACAAACCTAAATTTAGAGAATTTAATGAACATAAAGAAGAAATTATTAGTTATCTGTCACAATTTGAAGGCATATGTCAGTCTTATAATTATAGAGAAGAGACTTGGGCTAATATTTTATTGAGCAGATTATCAGGGAAAAGCCTAAGCATTATTAATTCACTTAGTGAAGAACAAAAGAATAATTATACATATATAAAGAAAGTTTTGTTAAAGTTCTATGGAAACACAGAAGACATTTATAGAAAAAATTTCCATAACATAAGACTAGAGAGAGAAGTAGACCCTAACACCACCATATTCAATATTAGAGACAATCTTGTCAAATGGCTTGAATTAACTGAAATTGACCTAAATGATCCAAAAGCATTACTGGATATGTTTATCATAGACAAAATATTAAGAAATGCATCAGTCTCTTTATTTTCATTCCTTAAAGAGAGAAAGATTAAAAATGAGCGTGAGTTAGTTGACTCAATCACAACATTTAAAGATGCTCACCTGGAAGTTTACAATTTTTTCCTTCTTATGTAAACAACCAGCTTGTTCAGTGTCTAAGAGACACAGGTTGTACAACAATAGTAGTTGACAAAAAATTGATTGATCCTAAAGACCATATATCTGAAAAAACCACAGTCATGTTAGCAAATAACACAAAAGTTGAATGTTATAAAGCAGTAGTGGACATAGACTGTCCATGGTTGACAGGAAAGGTAACGGCAGTACTTATGGATAATCCAGTGTGTCCATTAATTATTGGCAATATAAAAGAACTAGGCAATAACACTAAGTATCTAATAACAGAAGGGATAAGAGGAAGACATTTAAACATGAATCCAACACATAGCATAACAAGACAACATAACAAAGGAATTCTTAATAAAACATATACAGAACAAAAATCAGACAGGGCAAAACACATTTTTAGACTAAATTCAAGAAATATTCATCAACAGTATAGACAGGCTGAAAAATTCAAAAATGAAATCAAAGACAGAGAAAACAAGTTTCAAGATGAACATTACACAACTACAAATAACAATTTTATGGAAAGAGACAGACAAAGATCACAATTGTCATTTTCTTCAGTGCGGAGAAATACTTAACATTACATTTTAGCTAACCTAGCATAACACTTTCTGCTAAATTAATTATTAGTTGTCAAGAGGAAAATTTTTTTTCAAATATGATAATTGTCAATACAGAACTATTTTATAAACTGTTTACATTCTTGGTTATCAACTTTTTCATAGACAATGACAATAAAAGGAAAAGACAATACAGTAGCTGATTTCCTTTCCAGACACATTGAACATGCAGACAATGACAAAGACACTGACTTAAGACACATTAGTCAGACATTCTAGATGAATATACACACATACGTTCACTCAGTTTTTTTGATAAGACACTTGTACATATCAATTTTTGTAAATGAATATCATATTTTAACCGATTGTAAATTTTCTAATGCAAAATTTAAGATTGTTACATTAATTTTGCAGTGTTTATTATTCATTAAGATGTTAATGTCACTTCACATTATCATACATAAAGATTTTAAGAGGTTATCATTGGTGATTTTTTAATTTTTTGCCAGGGTACATTATTCACTATTAAGTGTGATATTAACAGTAAAAGGCTCTGTATTTCATAATAATGAAATGTTAATGTTGTTACACTGATTTGATTGTTAGATGTGGGATTGAAATTTCTGAGAGACATTATCATTATTTCAGCATATTATTTTGTGCCAAAAATTTTGTTGCACAAAATTTTTTCAGATGGGTGGGGCATGTAACGGACTATGTTTTCACATGTAAACAGAGAGGTAGCATGAGTGGACAGTGAGTGTGTTCACCAGGTTTTTCCACGGGGAGAGACAATCAATGTGGATTGTATTTTTGAGAACAAATGTGAACTCCACGTTTTTGGAGAGTAAAATTATGTTTTTGTCAGAGCGGTTGTTTTGCACGCTTTGCTGGTAATAAAGTATGAGTTGACTGAGATAGTAGAGAGCTGAGCGCAGAGCAGTAGAGTCAGTCAGTAGCGTGAGAGCTGTGAGATTAGACAGTTGAGCTGAGTTATAGTAGTCTGAGGACGTGTCTTTCTTAATGATGGAATACTATAGATATATATGTGAAATTACATTCATGCAAGGATTATTTATTAATATTATCAATATAAAGTGTGTTCAATAAAGTACTGTGAGTTTTAACTAGAATTGAGCATTCTTCTTTACGTGCCTGAATAATAAGTGAAAGAATGAAGAAGACTGAGTCGGCATCCTGAAGCGTTAATATAAGTAACCATACTACTGACATAACCCACAGCATAAGAAATAACATCCCACGCCATGTCAGAGTAGAAGTGTGTTACAGTTATTATTTTTTTATTTAAAGAGGAAACAACTTTGCAACTTTGAAAAATAACAAATGAAAATGTCAATGTTGAGAAGCAGAAATCAAACAAAAAATATTTTCTTACCACAGCAATTCCATCTAGGATGATGCTTATACCCCTGGGTGTGTACATCTGAGTCACAATAACATCACCAGGGTTGTACAGAAGCTTCCTTCCTTTTGCCTAGATCACATAACAAACATGATCAAAGTGATCATATAAGTCTATTACCAGTATATCAGTTCTACGGACACATGAAACAATTTTAATGACTTTAATTACATGAGTTATTTTTCATGAATATAGCAGACAAATAAATTTTTAAAAAATTAAATTCTGTAGGTACAGGGTTTGTGATGTGAAATGCATGTGCACAAATTTCTCAGTCTTCATCCAAACCAGAGTCAGTTTTTAGATGAAAACTTCAACTTAGCAGATCTGATGGTTGTTATTTTATTTATGACAATTTATGTTTTTCTTTTTTCAATGAGATTTTTTAAATTCTTTACGAAATAATCAGGAAGTTGGTGTTTCTTTGGGGAGAATATAGGACATTTTAAGCCAAACTAATAATGCCACCAAGAGTCATACTCTCCAAGACAAAAACATGTACACTTTTCCTGTCAGTATTTTAAAAACTTTGCATCAATAAGTGTTACTAATGAAAAAGTTGGTTCATAAGAAAATGGAAACAAGGTTAAATTAGGTAAGTTTGATATAAGCCACATGAAGGCCTTGATATTGGACACCAGATATTGCTAGAGCAAGACAATGGACTTACCTTGATAAACTTAAATAAATCTGGGTTGTTGCTGATCCAGGGAACAGTAAAAATGATTTCATCATTGCTCGGAGGCGTGATGATCAACAACTGCATGTTGACCTTGGCCAGTTTGGTGTAGATTTTCTGAGAATATACATTAGTTTATCTCAATTAATCAAATTTCTGAGACTATATACAAATCTCATTAGCTCATCTCCCTAAATCAGATTTTCTGAGAATCAGTCAATTTCACCAGCAAGAAGAAATATATTAAAAGAATAGTAACATTACATCTTAAAACTAAAAATATATTCCATGTTTTATGAATTTAACAAAAACTTTCAATTTTTAATGAGAAATTAATTTTCTTATTATAAAATGAAGTTATATTTCAATGAATGATCAATCACATGTTAAACTATTTTATAATTTAAATTTATAAATGTCCAATAAAAATAAGTCAGTCTTTTATATAATTTCAATCCATTTATTTCTTCAGAATGGTCACTAAGCCATTTACACAGAGGTCCTCGGGGTTGATCACCAAACCATTTACACAGAGGTTGTCAGGGTTGGTTACCAACCATTTACACAAACCAGGTAATTAATTTTTTTTTTTTTTACATTGTCCTTTACCCACACTGCACTCTAACCCCTTTACTCCTCAGACAGATCCATTAAATCCTGTATCTCTCCATATATGTCCCCAATCTCTTTAACAATGGTACACTGATCCCAACTTTCTTCAAATGAATCCTCAAACCCTGATTTCATTCTTTGATTTTAAAACTCTGATTTTCTGGCTGTCCTTACAACCCATAACCCCCTCCAGACAAGCCCCCCAGATCAGCTTCTCAAACTCTTCATCTCATCACCTTGGACACCAGCTCCTCTAATCAGGCTCCCCCTAAAACTATTAACCCTCATCAATTAATTAATTATTATTGAGTGTCAAATGCACCTTCTCTAGTGATGCACCATCTTGGTGACCAATGGCTCTCTCTCTCTGCAAGTGTCGGAGTTTGTCCAGTTGTGACTTCAAAGTGATGCGCATGGCTTGCCTGGTCTTGGCACTGGTGGAGACCACTGGATGCTGCATCTGAAGGTATCCTGCAAGAAGAGTCATTGATTCCAAGATTAAAGGTACTGCCTCCACTAAATCCACTTCATCCACATAGCATGTGAAATATTCAGCACATATGTTAAATTCTGGAGTGTTTAAGTAATGTGTTTGAATCTAACAAAAGGACAGCATGCAAAGTTACTAGAGATGAAGTTAATTTCTCTCAATAGTTTTTAAGAGCTTTATGACTTTAGATAAAATGAACAAGACAAGAGAGACCAAAAACAGACACAGTATGTGAACATAAGGAATAACGTACCATGATGACATAAGACAGGAGACAAAGCCAAAAAGAGATAGATCAAACTAATAGTGGAGTCAAGCAAAAAAGACACGATAACAGTTTACAAAAGAACTAAAAGCAGCCTGGTCACAGACCCATCATTCTTGTAGCTTCAAGTTTATGCTGTCTACAAGTTGCTGCATATTTGCTCAGCACATCATCAGAAAGGTCCAAATCCATGTTGGTCAAACGCCGCATAACTTCCTGTCTGCCTCTGATGTAGCTGCGGCCAATGTCATAACCCTCTGATAAATGTTGGCGTATGTGCGACTCGCAGAATTCTATCAGCATTTTTATAAGTGTCTGAATAGCAAAGGGTTAAAGTAAAATTATAATAAGAGTCTGAATAGCAAAGGGTTAAAGTAAAAGTATATTAAGAGTCTGAATAGCAAAGGGTTAAATTAAAATTATAATAATACTAAGAGTCTGAATAGCAAAGGGTTAAAGTAAAAGTATAATAATACTAAGAGTCTGAATAGAAAAGAGTTAAAGTAAAAGTATAATAAGAGGGTGCACCAAGGAAATTAATTTTGGCTTGAACAGAACTATGCATGGAACATAGCAAATGAGCTTTTGCTTTTTTTAACTGTTGGGTTGGATTTAATGTTATGAAATACTTGAAAGATTTGTAATTAATTTCACGCACACGTCTACTTACAGGACAAACTTCTCCAATCTGTAAAATTCTAAAAAATCTACTTGCTGTCAAAGCGATTATGATGAAATTAAAGACCACTTCATCAGTTGTCAGGATGTGTGTGGCCATGAGGTCCACTATACCAAAAGGAACGATGAGTAGGATGATAGCTTCCCATAGAGTCATAACTCGCTTCACTGAATACTGGGAGGGTTACAAAAAAACTACATAAGTTATACAGTTATAATGTTACAAGTGATGAGTAGTTTGAGATGTTGCACGACAGTAGGAAACAGAAACAGCACAAAGAAGAATAAAATTATGCCGTAAAAATTGATGACTCACTCTAAAGAGCAGCAGTACAATGTGGAATGTTATGTAGGTCAGGTTGTACCAGAAGAAAACTGTTCTGTGCCTCTTGTTGTGAATGAAAATCTCATTAGCCATCTGCATGACTGTGATCGTCACATCAAAGAAATGTAGGAAGATGACAAATGCTCTGATAGTGATACCCAGGTAGTGCATGTTGCGTTCCAAAAACACCAGCTCCCTCAGCTTGAGCCAAAGTTCTTGTTTCTGGGGGAGGGGGGAAATAACAATAAAGAGATGAAAAGAAAGGAAACAAGTATTCAGTATTATGAATCTTGTCACAATCTGCAATTTAAAAAATACAAATTGAAATTAAAATATTTTAAAGTAGTTGCTCTCAGTTATATACAAAGCCATTTAATTGACCAATCATGGTGACCAATTGATAAGAAACCCCTTTATTTTTAAATTTTAGGTGTCCCTTAATATGGAAGTAATTTCAAACTGACAGCTTGTCACATACACTCTGAAACTCGTCCCTCTCCCCCATAGACAGCGACGAGGCCATGACAGGCAATTCAGGCTCATACCAGCAAGAAGCCAGTATAGGAGCTGCTCATTCCTGCCCAAGACAATCAGGGACTGGAACCATCTTTCAAAAGGAACTCTCTCCCCCATAGACAGCGACGAGGCCATGACAGGCAATTCAGGCTCATACCAGCAAGAAGCCAGTATAGGAGCTGCTCATTCCTGCCCAAGACAATCAGGGACTGGAACCATCTTTCAAAAGGAACGGTTGAGGCGACAACACTAGACACATTTGTGTCTATTGCCTCCAGCCTTCAAACCCCTAGTGCATAATTTCCTCATCACCACCAGTAACAGAAACATTGCAAATCCCATCTACATGCATAGGAGCCAAAATGATCAATAAATTGATCGTGGGCCCTTAAGATATAGAAGAAGAAGAAGAAGAAGAACATAAAGGTAATTCAGTGATGACCAGTGGAACAATAAAAAGATAGGAGCCACACAAAAATTCCATGAGCCACTTATTATATATAGATATAATAAAAACACTGTACCGGCAACAACCATTTGTTTTAATGGTACAGGTAGTGACCTAAAAATGGTGGATGTATCAAATTAAAGTTGAATTCTGATGAAGAACGTGAAGGTATTTGGAGTTCTCTGTGCTTTTGTAACACTGTCATTTGTCTGTAATTACTGTAATTTTTTTAAAACTTTTTTTTTTTTTGGTTGTTTTTTAAAATATAATGTACATTTCTGTTCCAGATTTTATTTGTAGAGAGAAGCCTCCAAATTTGATGATGTTAAATCCGCATATTTTTGTTTACCTCCGGTACAAATGAAGTAAAAGCTAATCCAAATTTATCCTTTTATATTTTTCTATACAACTTATTTTATATCCTAATATTTTATAGATATTTGTATGTGGTATAGTTTACAATTAAATGAGTGTATAGACCAAGTGTTCATATATATATATATATATGTGTGTGTGTTTCTATATCTATATGTATCTATATCTATATGTCTCTATATGTATCTATATATCTATATCTATATAGATATAGATAGATATATATATATATGACAAATATAAAAACAAAAAATATTAACAACTGACAAAATCATGTTACAAAAAAATATCAGATTCTTTTATTGTTACGTAAACGTAGCATTATGGTTTTATAAATTTAATCTGTTTTAGATTTGGCTCGTTCGATGAACAATATCGGTAGCAGTATGTACAAAAGACTGAAAACCGGTATACACAAGGGAAAACGATAACAAAGCTAGTAATATTAACAATATTCATTTTTATTATACTATTAAGTTTATATAAATTATTATAAAAATAAAAAATCAAATATGGAGCAATAAAAACTATATTAACTTACTTCACAGCAAGTGAAAAAGTATACTTTTCCAAAGATACAAATATTAATATAAACTAAACACATATACAAAAAGTACAATCTTATAAGGCTCCTGTAACTGTAAGGCAAATAAATGCTAGGAAATCTCTTCCGGCTGGGAAAGCTGCCAGATAATTTATAGTGAGGTAGTTGGAACCCTACAGAAAAGAAATTCTAGAAATTGCATCACACGGGTGCATTCTCTGTCTTCCATTTATATTATATTCTAACGTAAACAGCCATTTCCCAATCAAGGGATGGATGGGTAGTTGCAGAGTGCTACACATTTAAATAATGATGCCTATATCAAAACAGAAGATGGGGGGAGAGATAGGTGGTGGACGCTACAGCTTTACTTTGACACAAAGTTAGGCCACCACACAGGCTATTACAATACAAATAAATGAAAATGTGTTTTGATTGCATTGTACATATCCATTTTTAGCATGGATAAAGTTAAACTTAAACATGCTGATTTTTAGTTAACATTTTAAAACTTTAACTTATTCTCATATGCAGAAATCAGTCATCATAAAACATCAATCCCATAATGAATATCTTGAATTAGAGTGATTATTTGATTTTATAACAGCCGAGGTAGCACATTAGCAGTTCTGAGAGAGTGGGGAACAAATGAATTTCTATTTCTTTCTTTTCTTACTTAGAGAGAAATAATTCACCTCAATTAAGATCAACTTAAGATGCAGTGGGTGGGATGAATCCTCCTAATTATTCAAGCCAGGGTGGTTTTGTTTGTGTGATCCTACTCTCTATCTTGGTAAGTCTATTTAATAAAGGGCACCTATCCAATAAAAGTCATTTGATTTTTATTGCCTAAACAATGAAAAGCTTCCTATAAACTGCATGTGTGATATCTTCACTTACCATAAACTGCAAGTGATGTGATATCTTTACTTACCATAAACTGCAAGTGATGTGATATCTTCACTTACCATAAACTGCAAGTGATGTGATATCTTCACTTACCATAAATTGCAAGTGATGTGATATCTAAACTTACCATAAATTGCAAGTGATGTGATATCTAAACTTACCATAAATTGCAAGTGGTGAGGTATCTTCAAGGCTGATTCAACTTTGGACGGAAATATTAACCTGTAATAAATTTCAAACATAATTGGATAAGAGAAAGTGGAGGGTAAAAGATAATTAACTAATTATAAGTAAGACTGCAATAAAACTTTAAGGTAGATTAATTAGAAACAAACAATTTGTTTAAATAACATTGTTATGTAGCACAATTTCCTGTGCGTGAACTTTCCTCGACCTTGTAGTACACTCCTAGCAGACAGTAACGTCTGTTGTGGGCGTGGTTAAATCTCTTTGATGTAGCTTGTTTACAATCGGCTTCCAATTACGCATTGGGTAGAATGTCTCCGGGTATCTTCTCGAATGTGCTCCTTAACCCGAGATATGTAAACAACACGTCATAAGTCCTTCTGAAATCTTACTCTACATGTATATAAAGGATTGACAAATATGGAGGGACGGAGATTCAGATAGATTTTATTAACTTTACGAGGCATGTTTTATTCTTAGTGTATTTGTGTGCTCATATGTGTTTATTTGGCATTATTTATTGGCACATTATTCTAACTGTGTACCGGTACAAGATCTACCATACTGTAAGTTGAAGATTGTAATTATATTTTCTTTTCTTTTGTAATTATCTTAAGACTTAATAAATCTTATTAATTGTAACTAGAAACTGTTTTGGGTCGTATCTTTAATATTGTTGATTCTATGGTATTGTCCTTTGTTAGGCACTGGTTACAACAAGCCAAATTAAAATTAAAATAGGAGATTAATTTCTCCCAATACAAGTCAGTGCGTAACAATATTATGAGGGACTGTGTGAGGAACAAGATATAACTAGGCTGGAAATGAAAATACAATTAAAAGGATATGATTTCGGCTAGATGCCTTCTTTATATAAGACAATACCAAAAAAAACAACAACTGATATTTAGAAATCAAAAACGTATGTGTTCGAAAATTTGATTGAAGTCAATGTAGCTTAATGTGGGCAGCCACTGTCTCCTCTTTCATATATTTTCTGAATATCCTTGATCCGTAGCCCTTATTGCCCTTATATTGGGAGCCTTATATTTAAATTAGAGCTAATATTGTCATTACTGGCACATGGAATATCTCTGAAATCATTGAATCATTGCTTTCATTTTAATCCATTAAAAATAATTCCATCAAAGAAATTCTAGAGAGGGGGAACCTCTCCAGCATCAGACATTATACTGTTAAAAGCAATTATTGGCATATGCGTATATTAACTTTATAATTATAATAATTATTAGGACTAATCATCAGTAAAAGTAGTAGTAGGCACCAGGGACACTCTACACTGGCACTACTATTAATAAAATAAAGCAGTAAATTCCGAGTAAAAACAGCTACTAAAACAAGTAAAACAAGGCCTGCCTAAAGTCTAAGTTTCAGTTAGCCTACAGTACAGCCTACGCCTGCTATATTTATAATTTAATAATTTAATTATCCTGTAACTATAATGACAAATTTAAATTGTATTATTAATATCAGGCTATTTTTTTATAATTTAAAATGTATAATAATAATAATATTAATTAATAATGTTTTTGTTACGTATATATTACGTTTATTATTATTTGACATAACATTTTTAAAATAAGCCTACTCAAATTTAATAAACGCTCACCTGAAATGCGACTTCTAAGTCTTCATCGTCTTCGACATTTAATTTTAATATTTTCACGTTGGGATTAAACTTGGCAAGTGATTGTAGCTCAACCGCTGTCTCCGGACAACGGCACGTTGCTATCACTATTTCAGGTGCTTTATCCAAAGAAACTAATTGCCTCACATATTCTAGTCCTAGTCCACTAGAAGCGCCCGTAATAAGCACAGTTCTAGCATCCAATGTCATGATTTTGCTTTATGTACTAAGGTTTTTGTTTAATGTACTAAAAAAATTATTACATGAACGTTTGTTGACAAACAATGAAATTAAAATTCCACTTCTTGGCTTTTAAGAGAAAATTCAGTTTTTTAAAATGAACTGACTATCTTTATTAACACAGTATGATTTCTCTTCCAAATAGCTATTGCTACTGCTACGTACCTTTACTTTATACAATTTTAATTTCAAAATTGTTATTAATTAATGCTCCCAAGAGTAGGTGCTAGTCTACGTTTAACTTTTAACTTCAGACTATTCGATGCCGAATTGATTTAAAAGTAATGTGTTATGTTACGTAAAAGTGATGGGATTTTGTTTGGATTAACCTACCGCCTACAGTAGCCTACCACTACCGATGACATTTTTTTTCAGCCTTTTTTTTTAAGACTCTAGATCAGCGAATCTTTGTATTGCACTTTCAATTATTTATATTCTTTGCAATATTATCATTTTCTATAATCTATAGGCAAAGCTGTCAAAGAATGCATTCTGTCTTCAGACATGGATGATCTTAAATTAATAGTAGCTTTATAAGCTCATCTACACAGGGATCCTCACTTTTGTTGCATTTTCACAAGGGCAGTGCCAGTATTTAATAATTAATACAAAGCAATTATTATTTCATAAACTAAAACAACTAATATTATAGTTTTATCTTTGTTCCACCATGACCTCTGGCTACTGCATGTGATCCACAAGATAAATATGATATACAGAAGAAACTTGGTGCTAGGTAACTTTGATTTTCCTAAAATATGTCAATTAATATTTTAATATAATAACATCATAATAATAATTTTTTAAAAATTTTCCCCCTGGCATCATGGGTTGTAAATCAACAAAATGATTGCATGTTAGTGTCTTAAAGCTATAACTGTCAAGTGCATTTTTCTGCAGTGTTAATCCATTTTTAGCATTTTCATATTCATAATATGCTTGTCAGAAATGACATAATCCCATACAAATAGAATTCAGAGACCCTTACAAGTATACATTTTCTGAAAGTACATTGGACAAGTTATCTTATGGTATGAAAATAATTTGTTTTTATGTTATGTATGTTGATGTTGACCTGGACCATAACAGAGTGAAAGAATTTTTACTACTCAACTTCTGAATTCAACCAAACCCAACCCTCCATAAATAAATTGTTCAAACTATCAGAAAAACAAGTTCTAGAGATACCGGTACTAGAAGCAATATTATTTTAGAAAATGTCAAGTAATAGGTACTTATAATGAAAATTATAATATTGGGGATTTTTTCATTCACTACTTTCAAATTTCTGGGGAAGGCATGAAATGAGTTCAAAATTCCTTTTCAAATGAAGTTATTAAATCCATTTTTTATGACTTAATACTACAGATGATACAAAAACATAAATGTCTTTGAATCTCTTTAAGGTAGGTCTTTGGAATACAATATTTGTTTTTTCTGTTTGATTTTCACCCTTTCCCCAAGCAAATATGTCAATAACCATGCAGCTAAGCTTAAGGCTAAAACTTTCGATACCGGTATGTGACTTTTTTGTCACAAACACAGGTAGAGCTAATATTGTCATTACTGGCACGTGGAATATCTCTGAAATCATTCATCATCATCGCCTGTCGTCCCGTCTGGGGCATAGGCCACAAACAAAGGCTCTCCAGGCATCCTGGTCTTGGGCAAGTCTCTCCAACTGTCCCCAGTTGTGCCCACTCTTTTTGATGTCTGCCTCCAGTTCCCTTCTCCAAGTTGTTTTGGGTCGACCTCTTTTTCTCTTACCCTGGGGGTTCCAAGTCAGGGCTTGTCTCGTGATACTTGATGCGGGCTTTCTGAGGGTGTGGCCAATCCATCTCCATCTGCGCTGGCAGATTAACTCTTCCACTGGTTCTTGTTGTGTGCGCCGCCAGAGATCCTCGTTGGTGATGACGGTGGGCCAGCGGATTCGTAAAATCGTTCGGAGACATGAGTTGATAAAGGTCTGTAGCTTTTTTG